CCCCCCCCCCCCCCCCCCCTATGTTTTTCTGCTGGGGCTTTTCATACTTTTTACATGCCATTTCCAGTAATAGGAATAAATTCGGTCATTCTTTATTGACACTGTTAATTGATTCTTCCACCTTGTTGGTACGTTTTGATGGAAGATCTTAAAAAATTGCACTGAAAGCCAAACGGAGCTTTTTAACGTGATATGCCAAATCGGACATCGTTTTAAATGAAACTGAAGAGTTTGAAAAAGGAAGAAATGCTCCCTCATTTGATTCGTTGAAGCCACAGAAAATGACAACTGGGTGGCCCTTTTTTCTCGAGTATTAAAGCCTTTTTTTTTCAGTAGATCTCATTTGATACAGAAGATTTTCTCGATCACAGCCATTTCGAAATATCTGTCTTATGACTGGCAAAAAAAAAAGCCGGATTGTAGAACAACTCCTTACGAGTTCTGAGCTAACCCGGACGGAGGGAATGTGGCGGGTGAGGCGAGAGAAGGGGGAGGGTGGAGATGGAGTTGGAAGAGGGACTGCTCATTTTATTTGCTTTCGTTATCGCTTCCGGAACAAGTGTAGTGTATGCACTTCACAACTGAAAATTAAACAAATTTTAAGGATTTTTGAAAAGGTCCATTTTGAGCGGCGTAATGTCATTCTGGGAAATACACGGTCGTAAAATATTTACAAGGGGGAGTGGGGTTAGTGGCCAACTATCGTATATTACTAAAACACGGCTCGAATTGGCTCGGCCCGTCTCACACACGAGCTGCAAAAAATTTTCTTCCCGGAAGGCGGGTAGGGTTGCCCCACGGCGTATGGCGGTAGTTTGAGTGTGGTGCCAGTGTAAGTTTAAAAACGTAGAAGGGAAGGGTTTTTATGGCTTTTCAGGTCGTGCATATGTGATGTGTAACGTATCAGGGTAGGCGCATTTTACAGCCCTTTGAGGTCATCTATACACCTCCTACTTTGGCAACGCCCACATTCTTCCCGTATATACAGGCTCAGTTTTTTGGCACAAGATCCAGCCTCTCCGGTCCACTCGGACTGAGTGGCGGGGGCGAGTTGTTCGCCCACTGCCCTCAGTCCTCACTACCAAGGAGGAAAGGAGTATGCGGCTTAGGGGGACTGAGTGGCGGGGGCGAGTTACGTCGCTCACTGCTGTCAGTCCTCACTACCA